AGGTTTCCTTTCTAGAATTTTGTATAAATGGGATATTATAGGATTCACTCCTTTTTGTTCTGTCTTCTTATCTTCAGCATAATTATTTGGAGATTCATCCTTATGGTTGTTTTTCTATGACTCATTTCTTTCTATCACTGACCAGTATTACATTGTGTGGATATACTATGATTTCTTTAGTCATTCACTTGTGATGGATAGTGAGTTGTTTCCAATTTCAGACTATTACAAAGAAAGCTTCTAGAACACTCATGTACAAGTCTGCATATAGATACGTGCCCGCTTTTCTCTTGGGAACGACTTGTTATAAACATATACCTATGATAGGTATATGTTTCATCTTTTTGAGAAATTGTAAAATGGTTTTCCAAAGCAGTTGCTTTTAAAATTTTTAAATTTCAGCAACAGGACATGAGAGTTCCAGTTGCTTCATGGATTTGCCAATGCTCAATGATGAGGCCTTTCATCTTTAGTTATTCTAGTAAGTATGTACTTGTGTCTCATTGTGGTTTAATTTGCATTGCCCTCATGCCTAATGATGATCATCATTTCCTGTCCTACTTGCCATCTGTGTCTCTCTTTTGGTGAAATTTTAAAAAATATTTTGTCATTCTTTTAGTGGCTTATTTGTTTTCTTATCATTGAGTTTTGAGAGTTCATTTTAAAAAATTGATATAAGTCCTGCATCTAATATAGGACTTGTAAATATATTCTCTCCGTGTATTACATGTCTTTTCATTTTATTAAAAGGGTTTTTTGAAGTAGACTCCATTTTTAAGAACTTTCTAAGCTAATTGTTAGGGGATATAATTAAATGATGCCTTTTTTGGTTTTCTAAGAGCCCTCTACAAAGGGAATTATAAAGCTAAACAGGAATTTCAGATAGAATGTCACTTGAAGCAGAGTTTTCTGATTTGATGATAAATGTTTGATGTGATCAACTTTCTGGAGTACTCTCCAAAAAATCAATTAATGAGTTATGTAATTAACTTGATCCTACTAAATTAAAAGAGTACTATACTGGCACTTCTAGTCCAATGTTGGAGTTTGTTTTAAACTAACTATTTTATGGATTAAAGACAATTAAACTGATGCTTAAAATCAACAATTCATATTGAGAACAAAATGACTCACAAAATGATTTTCTATTTTAGGATCAAAAAACATCATCATAACAGATTTAAGAGAATGCCTGCAGTGGTTGAGATCTGGGTTCTGGGAGCCATGCACCTTCTGACCTGTCACCAACTACTTGCCCTCCCCGTATGTCTCACAACCAGAGCAGGCAAGACAGAAATCCCCCTATCATCTCTGCTGGGTGACCTCCCATGTTTCATCTATACTCGGCCACCATCCTGGTGGGCTTTTCTCAGAAAGAGCAGTGGATACAGAAGGTCCTCTCTCTGGAATGGGCTCCTCTGTAATCAAAAGTCATTTCATATTCATTATCTGGCCTAAGCTACCATGGATTCATGAGGAAGGATCTACCATCTCCACATACTTGATTTTTAGTCACATTCTAGTTTGATGACATGTCCATCCAAATATGTTAACCTATTTTTCTTCTTTTTTTAAAAATTGTGTTTTCAGAGCATTTAAAAATATATATCTAAGGAATACAAGTACTTTATCAGATGTGTGATTTGCAAATGTTTTCTCCTAGTCTGTGGCATACTGTTTATTTTCTTAAAAGTATTTTATGAACAAGTCCCTGATCAGGTGTAATATGAGTGCCTGAAACTGCCTAATGTACCCTAAAATGCCTCCATATCAGCATTGTTAATTGCAAAAAAAAAGACAACATACATCTGTGCTGATATTGTCCCTACACATCTGCATCTTCATATATTGAGGCAATATTTCTATATTTGTAGGTGACCCATTTGTTTTCCAGGGTCTTCTTATCACCTAAGAGCTGGATAAGGTGGCTCCTCCTAATCTATGTCCCAAGAAGTGCAGCATCCTCTATATGATTTCCTTGGAGTCCTGAGGTATGAGATGTAAAGAGGAAAGCTGTCTCTGTTGTCAATGTCCTGCCTTCTGTCTCTGCAAATCTGGCTCATTATAAAGCTCTGCTCACCCCGTGCTTGTTTCCACATACTTTTTGAAAAACGGACCTGGACACTTTCTGTGATCCATGCACAGAAATTCTACACACATAAGGACTTTATATGGACAGCCGTCTTTACTGAAGGTTTGAAGAAGATGGAAGAGAGAGTTTCATCACATCAGTGCACACAATTTCAAATTGTGCATGAGACAGCCCCTAAAGTCCTTGTTAATCTCCACAAGGAAGTCCTCTAGGAGTATCAGAGCTCCAGACCACCCAGGGAATTTCTCTCTGTCTCTTTCTCCTCAAAACAAGGAAACACACAAAATTATGCTCTCTCAACCTATTTTCTGGTGCTATAACAAAATGCAACAATTAATACAGAAAAGAGGTTTTTGTTGGCTCATAGTTCTGGAGGTTGAGAAGTTCCAGATCAGGAAGCCACATCTTCTCTGCTTCTGGTGAGGGCGTGATGGTGCTTTAACTCATGGAGGAAAGCAGAAGGGAAGAGAAAACCTGTAAATGAGAGAAAATGGGGCTGCGCTGCCATGATAGTTAACTCATTCCTTCAAGAAAGGTACAGATCCATTCAGGAGGGATCTCTAGTGGTGTCCCAAACTCCTCTTAAAGGCCCCTCCTCCCAACACTGCTGCTGGAGGGGCTTAAGTTTCCAACGTGAGCTTTGAGGCACACATTCAGCCCAGTCACAGGCTGTAGATGTTATGCTGTCTTTTGTCATCCTCATAATCTTGACATCTCGCTTTCAGTCTCAAGACTTTCCTTGGATGGTTTTCTTCACAAAAGTGTTATTCTAGTGAGCCATTCTGGTGATTAAAAGTGATCTTATTATTTTACTCTAGCCTTCATCCATATGTTTAGCATATGCAAATGTCACCCTTGGGCTAGGCTCCCTCATTCTTATTGAAATTAATTTAAAGTGTCATTTATTCTTTACTAGTGATAGACATACTTTTGGTTATTTGTGTGGGTGATCTGGATATTCAATAGCAACACAGTATTTAAATTCTGCAGAAGCCTCTCCTGTGTTTTTGGTCAATGACCAAAGGAAGAGCAGGCCTTTCATAAACTATCCAGTTTCTGGGTCAGGGTAGCTGCAGGGCCAGAGAAGGCAGTGGGCTCTCAAGGCCCACTGCTGAGACTTCCTCAGCTTCCCCCTGGATGCTCTAAACACAGCATAGACTCTGTATTTCTACATGATGCTCTTGTATTTGAACCAAGGCACAAGAGAACACTGCTGCAGAAGAGCTTTCAGAAGAGTCGATGTGGGGAGTTGAAAGAAGGGGGAATGTTGATTTTTACAGGGAACCTGACTAGTTTGGGTTGACAGCTGCAGGCCCACCAGGTTGGCACTTCTTGATTGTACAGCCCATGTGTTACCACCTTGAATCAGAAGGGGGAGCCCTGAGTTCAGTTCCAGCACAATAGTTCTGACAAATTTCATCTCCTGAAGACTTAATTCTTTAAAGAAACTCAGATTTCCATGCTGCTCTTTGAGAAAATGCATAGACTCAAATAAGACCTTTTCAGATTCTCTCCTTTGTACTACTTTTATAAACCTCCACTTACTAGCTATGTGAAATTTGGGTGGTTACTACACTTCTTTGAGACTTAGTTTCCTGACTTGTAAAGTGGAAAAAGTGTGAAATAGGTAACCACTCTGTAGGCATACTGCTTACATAAGGGTGCATGAGAGAGGATCAAATTGAAATATGTACATAGGTGGTGCTCAGCACAGTGCCCGTTTCATTAGAATCTCTCAGTAAATGGCAGCTCCAAATGACAGTAATAGCCAAACTAGCTCAGGTTCCCAAGAGATCAGTACAAAGACCAAAAACCAGCCAGTTGCCATATGATGGTCAGGTACCCACGAGCTGCTTGGAAAATTTGATTATTCCAGTGCAAGCATGGGGAAAATTGGTGTTCTCTAACTCATCTGAATTTTCTTTCACCCATGCTTCCTAGCTTTTAACCTGGCTTTAAAATTGGATTTCATCTTTTGCACCTATCTTGGATTTTTACTTTGGGAAGTGTGGGGCTTCAGAGATGCAGAACATCAGGAAAACCAGATAGGATATTCCCAGAATTCTGCATCACCAAGCTGCGAGGCCAGGAATAGACTTGGTTTTTGAAAAACATGGAAACAAAACTAACCAGATAACTAGAGTATAAACAAGGTCTTTTTTCCTCTGTTCCCTTTCCCTGGAAACTGACATCCTTAGATGTCCATAAATCTTGACTGTACTATGAAGAGCAAAATAAAGGTACTTAATAAGTGTCAGGGAGGTCCCCTCAATCTTGGGGGCACACAGATATTTTAAACTCCTGTCAGAGGCAGAGCATCCCTCAGACAAGGAAGGGTTTAGGGTGACTACAAGAGCTAGCATATTCCTTTGGTTCACCTGAGAGCTAAATTCTAACTTTACAACCAGAGATCCTGAAGCACAGAGCAAAAGCCATGAGCATCCCAGCTTCTAGTCCCAAGTCACTTGCTGACCTATTCCCCTCCAATCCCACAGCATTCAACCCACATATATTGCCCTAGAAGGTTCAGATTCCATTATCATCTCTTACCTTGTGTATTATGTGGCTTCCATGAATTTTAAATCCCTCAAAGGCAAGAGTCAGAAACTATACTACTTTGCAGGCACATTTTATGAAGAGCATGTAAGAGGTATTCTGAAATTGTTAAAACAGGTGGTTGTATAAATCAAGTTGAAATTGAAATGGCCATATGGAGTTTTGCATCATAAATAATTTATTTTTCAAGGTAAAAATTTAAATAAAGAAAAAATAATTTATAAATTAATAAAAAATTTTAAAAGTCTTGTATTGTCCTTTCAAATGCACTGCATTCTGTCAGTCATGAGCTTCTACTGGTTGAAGCATGCTTGAAATCATTGTCCAGTCCAGACAACAATCCATGAAATCTTCAGTTTTGAAAGTGATCCATAAGTCTGTTAATGAAGGAGAAGTTCTGGAAGAGTTCCATTCGGATCACTGTCCAGGCACAGCTGCTGTACTGTTTGGCCTTCAGGTACCTCAGGATCCTCCAATAATAGCTTTTCAGGTGCAGAATAGTCCTGGAGTTTCCCCAGCTTTTGTTTTCCTCTCCCAGTTTTTTTTCCAGGATTGTTTCCAGGAGGTCCATCTGCTGATGGAGTTCAACAAGGAGGTCCTTGACAATGGTCTCATTCCAGCCAGTGTTAGAGAAGTTTCTTGTGAAAATAACAAAGATGTCCTGGAGCATCTCATAGATGACAAAGGCAGCGTGCTCCTTCTGGAGCTGCTGTGGATGTTTGATCTCCTTGGGGATCTTGAAGTCCATCCTGTCACTGAGGCAGTCTTCAGGCCTTCCATTCAACTGCTGCAGGAGCTTCTGACATTCCAAACTGCTGCTGCTCTGTTGGAGTCGAAGCAGGTGGTAACTTAGGGAAAGAGTTGTGGTGGGGAAGCACAACAGGAGAACAATTTGCAAGATGCACCTGTTGTTCATGATGACAACCAGAACAGTGTTTCCTACTACCTGTGCGAGGAAGCAAAAGCTCCAAAGATCTGTAGAGTGAATGTCCTGGCTCCATGGGTATGGGCTATTTATATGGGATGGTCCTCTCTGTTTCAGAGGAATTTCCCACTTTCAGTTCTCCCTTTCTGTTTTCCTATGTCATTTTTTTTCTTATTTCATTTTTAAAGTAGATTCTCAGACTCTTTATTTAAACTCCTGATTACTTTATATAATGTATATTAGGGGAAAAGATAGACAAACTGTGAGAATTTCTAATATTTAATAAAGTTTCAGTAATTTCTCAAGCAAAGGGGGAGAAAGGGACTTGAGAGGAAACAAAAGAAAGAAAAGGACCTGAGAACCAAAGAAACCCCAAATAGCCAAGAGGAATTAACTGAAAAGCCAATCATAGAACAGCAGCTGGATTGGGGGTTTCACCCATTGCAATAGTAGGTTCATGTGAGAGGGCTTGGGGGACTTCTGAGAGACCTTGGAATAGTGCAGGTTAAGAGAAAGTTTCAAATTAACCAGCCACAGCTCCTGTTATGATAGGGCCTTATACTCAGGAAACACAGCTATAGATGAAATCAAATTTAAATAGATAGAAGGAACAAAGGCAAAGAAAGAGAAGTCCAGACCATTTTGGGGGTGAGAACTCAGAAAGCAAGCTGCCTTGATTTTGAACATTTCATAAAAGCAACAGAAGAGGGAGCTCTGTGAAGTTGGAAAAACCACCCTGACCACTTCTAAATGTTCAGGGAAAATAAGTTTCTATAAAATTGAACAACAGAAAAGCGCTGAGATGGGATCTAATATTACTATTATTTTTAGAAAAAAGAGAATGAGTAAAATAATACCTCTACAAGTAATGAGGCTATCTCAGGAATATATGCATACAACACAATTACAGCAGTGTCACCACAGTTTAATGCTACTAAGACATGATATAAAACAACAAAAACCAGAGAAAAGCCTCAGAGATGAAGTAATATCTGTAGGTAATAATCAGACATAAAATTTAAAAAAAAACCCTAAGTTTTGCTGAATTGGAAAACAGTCACAAGAAATGAGAACATGGGGGGAAAGCTGACACTATAGAAAGTCCATGTGGAAAAAAATATTAGCAGGCGGAATCATACAGTTCAAAAATTATCACATACCTACTGACTAAGGGGATATTTTCAGGAAATAAGGATGGTTCAATATAATAAGGTCTATATAACATTATATAGAGCGGATTATAAGGCCATATGTCCAAAATCTAGAAAGAAATTAGGAAATATTGAAGATAATATTGAAGTAAGAATAAACTTTCTTAACAAGAACCCTGAAATTATAATAGAAAATATTGATAAATATGGCTATATAAAAAGTATAAATTTCAGTATGCTCAAAAAAAGCCAATGAAGTCAAAGAGGAAGATTAAGACGAAAATATATTTATAGTGCACTTTGAAAGCATTAGTTTACTTCCCCAAACCTTTTAAACTTAGTAACAATCTCATAGAAAAATTTACAAATGGCCAGATACCATGAAAAGAGATCTAAAAGTCCAATAAACGTATGAAAATATATTCAATGTTACAGATTTAAAAATGTCAAACTAGTAAAGAAGTAACTGTATTTAATCAGATTTGCAAAGGACATAGGTAAATGGATATCCTAACATACTCTCAATTAAAGCAAGTAGGAATGTTTTGGTTTTTCAAAAATAGCTAGGACAGTGTCTCTCATTCTGCATGACACTCTACAATGTGATTCTAACTATCTATTGAGAGGGAGGGGCTATGTCTCTCTTAAATCTGGGCAGATTTCTGTGAAAATCTTCATAATTGTTGAGGCTGGGTCTGAAAGGATGATGTAACTTATATTTTGTTGTTTGGAAACCTTGCTCTTACAATCACTAGCAATCATATGAGTGGTCTGATTGCCCCCAAGGCTACTATACTGTAAGGAAGCCCAAACTAGTCCATAGGAAAAACCATGTGAAAATTGGCCAGATAATCTAAAATTTTAAGCCATGGAGTCCCTTTAATTTGTAATACCATGGAATTTACCTATGGTTGCCCTTGCTGAATGTGTGTGTGTATGTGTATGTATGTGTGTGTGTGTGTGTTTACACATATACAACATCTGTAAATGCCCACTGAAGCATTATCATACTAAAAAATACAGGAGAGAACTGGTTAAGCAATACCATAGTACAGACCAAATGAAATATTACTGAACACACATTATTGGTGTCATTAGAAAATACAATTATATAGGAAGAATAAGTTCCAGTGTCTACAGCACACTAGGGTGACTCTAGCTCACAACAACTTATTATGTATTTATAAAAAACCAGAAGAGAAAAGTTTGAAGGTTCTGAACACAAAGAAATGATAATGTTTAAGAAGATGGTGCTAATTGGATTGTTAAGGTCCCCTAAAGGCCATATGTTGAAAGCTTGGTCCCCAGGGAGGTACTAATGGGAGAAGGTGGAAACTCTAGGAGATGTGGTCTAGTGGGAGGCTTTTAGGCCATTGGAGGTGTCCTTGAAGGGCATTCTGGGATCCTGGCCACGTGCTCACTCCCTTTTGCTCCCTGAACTTTCACCATAACTTACCAAGAGGTGCTGGCCTCACCCAAAGCCCCAAAGCAACAGGGCCAAGCAATCATGAACTGGAATCAAACCCAAACTGTGAGCCAAAATACTTTTCCTTTTATAAGTTAATTATCTCAGGTATTTGTTATGGTAATAAAAAACTAATACAGATGAAAATGCTAATGACCCTGTTTAAATCTTTATACATTATAAACACATATCACACTGAACAACATAAATATGGACAATTATCATACATCAATAAAAACCAACTGATTATATTGAAAAGGACATAAAATGGTACATAGAACACATCTATATAAAAATGTGCAGAGAGAAAATTAATAAAAAAGAAGTATACCAACATTTTAAGAGTCATTTGGTTAATTGGTGAAACCGAAGGGTGATTTTCCCCTTTTTTCTTTGTATGGTTTTCACTGCCGAGCATATCTTCTTTTGTAATAGAACAATCTACACTAAAGAGGAACAATCAAGCCTCAGGTTTCCAGACTATTCTGCCTCTTCTGTGGGTTTCATTCTCACATTTTAGCCTTTGCATGTCAGTTCTTGGCAGAACCTCAGATATTTCATGACTTTAGGAAAAAATAATTTCTAAAACAATGATTTTTTTTTTTTTAAAAAAAGTAAATCATCTTGCATCTGTGAATGTCTGGTCATGTCAGTGATTGAGTAATTCCTGGAGGTTTCTTCTTTTTGAAAAGCATTTGTGGATTATTCTGGAATCATTCATGGCTCATAACATAAAGACCAATGCAAGGTGTTTCAAAAGTCAGTTCTTACTACTCAGAGGAGGAACAGTCCAAGGAGTCTAGTCATTAGGGCCTGTCCCCTCAGGATGACTTGTGAGCTCATGTAGTTTACCTCTCCTGATTCAACATTGGGCCTCCTCCTCATGCAACATCCAGGGTCCTCTGATCCTCTCTGCTGAAATGACCATCAGAGTTCCCTAATCTAAAAAGATAAAATCCACAGAAGTGGCAATAGTAGCAGTAGTATTAGTTACCACTTTCTCAGCACTTACTGTGTGCTGTTCTCTGAATAATTCTCATAATAAGCATTTGAGATGGTGCAATAGTCCATTTTTTGTTACTGTAAATAAAATTACTGAGGCAGGCTAATTTTTAAATAAAAGAAGTTTATTTAGTTGACAGTTCTGAAGGTTCAAAGTCCAAGTGAATAGCTCCTTTGGTTTAAACATAGTACAGCTGGAAATGATACAACTCACTTAAAAGGTCAAATACACTAAAATTCAGGGTACCCTAATATGTAATGGTGATGCATAAATCAGTTATAACTCTGGCATAAAGGACAAAATTGGAAAGTTTATTAAAATACTACAGCTACAACAATTTGTTAATGCACACGATATAAAATATTATGTTAAAAACATAAAATCTGTTAGGAAGACTAAACATGTAAAGATTTTATATGCAATAAAATTAAGCTATCTTAAAACAGACTGTTGCAGCTTTAAGATATTTTATGTAAGCTTCATGTTTATTATAAAGTAAAAATTTATATTACACATACAAAAAATAAAGCACAAGGATTGAAAACATACCCCTATGAAAAATCATCAAATCACTAAAAGTAATAATTTAGAAAGAAATGAATGAAAGAACTACAAAACTATCAGAAAGCAATGAATTAAATGGCAACAATAAGTCCTTATTTACCAATAACTACTGTAAATGTAAATGAACTAAATTTTCCAATTAAAAAAATAGAGAGTGACTGAATAGATTAAAAAAAAAAGTGCCCCAACAGTATGCTGTCTGCAAGAGACTCATTTCAGCTTGAAGAACACATACAGACTAAAAGCAAAGGGATAGAAAAAAGATATTCTATACAAATAGTAATCAAAAGAAACATGGTTAGCTGTACTTATTATATCGGAAACAAATTAACTTTGATCAAAAACTGTAACAGGAGACAAGGAAGGCCTTTACACTGTTAAAAGGGTAAATTTATTAGGACTATTTAAGAATTGTAAATATATATGCATCCAATATCAGAGCACCAAAATATACAAAGGAAATATTAATAAATCTGAAGAAAGAAATAGGCTGTAATGCAATATTAGTAGCAACTTCAATACCACTTTGGACAATGGGTAAATTATTCAGACAGAAAATAAGGCAAAACTGGACTTGAGCTACATACACTTAGAACTAAATGGATTTAACATACATTTACAGAACAATCCATCTAAAAGTTGAATACACATTCTCCTCAAGTGAACATAGAACATCAATCCTCTAGAATAGATGTTAGGCCACAAACCAAGTCTTAACAAATTTAAGAAGATTAAATGCATATCAAGTATCGTTTCTAACAACAGTGGTATAAAACTAGTAATCAGTAACAGGGAGAAAGCGGGAAAC